AATCAATACAAGTTTCAGACGTCCTGTAACAGTACCAACAAATCAGTGGGTTCCACTGCTATAGTGATGCTGATTAATCAATACAAGTTTCAGACGTCCTGTAACAGTACAAGACCATAGTGTCTTCCCTATGGCACGATATGTTTCCGACAAACCAGCACTACGTCGTCAGTCTATCATTACAATCAAAATGAAGTGCAACACAGCACACGTAAACATGTCGCCTAAGTTTTAACGTACACATTTTCAACTAAAATCATATGGATGGCTGAGAAATGTCCACCGAATATATACTACATTTGTATGTGTTGTCAATAATATGTGTGCGCCTTCTTTCACCAGTACGTACAACATCACCAGTATTATCGAAAACAATACCAGACTCCCATACCAGTCTGTCACTATAATCAATACACGCGTTTCTAAAAACGTGGTCACTAGGCAGGGTAGTTACAGTCAAATGGAAATAGGTGCTAAGAGAAGTGCTACTTGCGCTAACCCTGAAATGTTAGTAGTCCGTCTTTTCGTATTGCAGAGTTATCTGCTCTTGTGAGCAGGTATTGATTTTTACATAATTAGTTTGTGTGAGAAAATTACAACGTTTTCTCAAAAAGTTATGACGTTACTCTCACAAATAAATGACGTAACAATCAATACCTGCTCACAAGAGCAGATAACTCTGCAATACGAAAAGACGGAATAGAGAAATGAAAAAATCTTCCTCTGTCAGTTTAACACCCGTTGGTGTTCTGTTGTCGAGAATTCATAACATTAACCAATGCTCGTTGTTTCGTAACAAAATTAGTGTTATCATAAATAGTTCACACCAGAAATGGGGATAAATGTTAGAAAAATGAAACGGAATAGTACAAGCTCACCACACCTGCAGCTGCTAGTTACATCATACATGATGTAGCTGCTAGTGACGTCATACAAGATGTAGCTGCTAGTGACGTCATACAAGATGTGACAATGATAACATACCACAGTTAGCTGTTTCTCCTTCGTCAGTTCCGTCCTCACAATCGCTGTTTCCGTCACATAGAAACGATGGCGGTATGCATTTCTTCTTATCACACAGGAATTGGCTTTCTGGACATCTCACTGTTACTGGGCCTGAACGAAAAACAACAACAGCTTACCAAAGTTTACAACATGCCATGCCTGAACGAAAATCAACAGCTTACCAAAATTTACAAAATGCCATATTGCTTGTCCATCACCCTGGCTACCTAAAATAAGTATCAACATATAGTGAAGCGTCATAGATGACGACAGTGCAGATTCTTATTAATAGGAGTGACCTGGTCCTTGTTCAGCACACGAAGAATTTACTTGTAGAAAACAGCAAAAAGTGGCAATAATATATGATAATACAAGGAAATATCAGATACAATTTTTCTTCAACACCCTCCACTGGGATGACAAATCTATTTGATAACAGGTTTTGAGTTAACTTAAAAAGAAATAAGCAACTGAAATATTAATATTGCTAGGTCTGCTTATTAATTAAGAAAAATACTGTAATTAAAAACAATCTTTACATACGTGAAATAAATAGTGTTTGTATCGCCATCGTTCAAAGGACAAAGAGTTTGTATGCATATATATTTTTAAACAAATCTCTGACTAAATTTGGTCAATAGGAAGTAACGCTGAGAAGAGCCGATAAGAAGATATCTAATATACATATGTTTTAATATATATAATATTTTACACGTAGCTTATTCAAATTTCACAAGGCTTGGAATACCAATCTCATATTGTCGGAAACGTTATCAATTTAATCAATTATTCATCCGTAGTCCGAAATATTCTGATAATTCCCTCGGACTAGAATATTCAGATTTTTTTCGTTTTTCCCACTTGGTGATCTTACTTTTAACTTCCTGTTACACAAAACCACCAGAAAGGGGAACGCTTAAACCTTTTCATAACCGACATCATCTACACGGAATCTGGCGATGATATTTCTTTAGGCATAATTTAATACAAGGTTAGGAATATTGGGCAGTTTTTGTTGTAGGATACAATGTGCTATCGCCAAACTCCACGTTTACGCTTAACTCCAACTTCTAAATTCGACTTCTTATCTCGAGCGTGAGACGTACCTTTTCTCATGAAAGATTTTATACGTAAAGTCGAGCGCTCGAGATAATTAATAAAGAACAGGAGTTTGTGCATGTCCTAAACGTAGCACCGTAAAAATGTTATGTGCTTGGGCGAGAACTACTCACAGTTTCGCTCGTCAGAACTGTCCGGACAATCGGGGATTTCATCACACTTGAACTGGGCACCAATACATGTTCCATCTGCACACGTGAACTGGTCCGCTGAACAACCTGTTGATGAGTACAAACGTGACAGAATTCCAAATAGTAACTTCTTGGTAGTTGTTTGTAAAATACCTCAATAGTCTTAACTTATAACAGTACATGTTAACCTTAGAGTAACTGTAAGTTTCAAAATAAACTGTCTGAAAGAAGGACGTTTTTTAATTAATAAATTCTTGAAGGATTGAATCTTGCTTTGGTCGATTTCATGGTGTGATGAATTCAGTTGGTCATGAAAACAAATTTTATGAACTGCGTAGCGTTTAGATATCAATTGTTTTGACGCGTCCTCGCGGAAAAATAATGTCTATACGCGGTGCGCAGGCTCAGCTGCGAGTCTCCGGCAGCCATCATTTTACTAGCTCGAAGTGGAGAGCCGCAAATCGTGGTTCAACATCTTCTGGAATGTGAAGCTGCAGTAATTGAATGTCGAATTAGACAGGAAACAAGACGTGGCTTGAAAGGACGAATCAATTTGATATGGCAGTGGACTGTTCGACTGCATTTCATATATGACGTGGCCACATGAATGTTATTCACGTTGACTGATAAAAGGCAAAATGGGTAGCTGGAGGGAGAATTTCTAGGGCAGTGCATGACTTGTCACTACCGCTAACAACCGTGAGCTGATGATATTTTGTTGAATTTCTTGTGTAGCTTCAATAGAAATGTAAAATCTCATACAAAAAAGTATTTTCTTTGTTTTCAAATGTCAATAGTTATCTCCCTTCGCAAAATTTGAAAATATGTATTCATACGCACAGGCATGTTAATCTGATCAAATTCATCGGCAAATGAAACAGGTTACATTTGGTAGTTGAACTGAGTCGAACTTGAGTAGAAATTGAAATATGAAGTGTTATAAAACTCCGATATATAGAAACAAAATACAGGGACATGTCTCATTCAAACGGCGGTCGTACGGTAACACATGCATGTCCCTGTGTAAAAGGGTTCGGATAATGTTAAAATCTCCTCACATATAAAACGCAGGTGAGCAGAAAATATATAATCACTGACAAAGGAGCACGATACTAAGATGCCCCCATACCCTATATAATACATATATATACGGACAATGGGGGCACGTGCCAACGGTGTCATGGTTAAAATAGGATAATTATTTGGAGTAGCCTCCCCTTACCTGGGCGAGGTGTGGTGGGTGCTGGGGTGACAGGTTGAGGTGGTATAACTATTATTGTTTTATTAAGCTCGTCTATCTGTTTCTTTATTCCTATAAGGTCGATTTCTAAAACTTCCACTCGGTTACAACAGCGAGTCATATTCGTTATAAGCGTCTGGAAAATAAAGACGAAATTATATTACAACAATTTAATATGATAGGAAGTACAAATTTTCAAGTGGAAATCAATATTATATCAAAGTTGTATTATGTCTAAATTATATGAATAGGAGTTCAAGTTATCCCCTTATCTTGGCACATTAAAGTAACCATAAAAAGGCGTTCAGTAATTTAAGAAAATATCGTTCATGCTCATTTACATCTGTTGTTTTCATTATGGATTAAGTAAACTTTTTCATATATTTCTTAATCAATGATTTACCTGTATGGTTCTTTCAAGTTCTTTTATCCTCTCTGAAATATAAAATCGTTGAAGAATTATATTTGAAGCAGCTCTCTAAATAATATGTAAACACTTACAACTTAAAATCATAAATCAAGCGTATAGAAATTTGGAAGAGTAAATACGTACCCATATCTACGTTTGTTCCATCCCTTCCGTTCTGCCCGTCTCTTCCATCCGATCCATCTTGGCCATTTATCCCATCAACGCCGTCCCGTCCTGGTTCTCCAGAAAAGCCGGGTCTTCCATCATTTCCGGGGGGTCCTGGAGGTCCGAATGGTCCTGGAGGTCCGGCGGGTCCAACGGGTCCCGCTTCTCCTTTTTCTCCTTGTAACCCTGCTGCACCAATGGGTCCCCTAGCCCCATCTAATCCCGAGGCCCCGGGTAAACCCATTTCACCTGCAGGTCCTCTTTCACCTGCATCTCCCTTTCGGCCGGTGCGACCTGATTGATAAATGATTCAGTTAAAGGCTCAAAAAAGAGTTTCATGACTTTGCATGTTATCATGCAAAATAGCTAACAAAATAAGTTACTACACAAGGACACACCCAACTTACCATCAAGTCCTCTCTCCCCCGTCAGTCCTATTCCGCCATTAAGCCCGTCCCGCCCAGGACTACCCCTGGCTCCCCTCTCTCCCTTCTGTCCAGCTGGACCCTGGGGACCAACATCACCGGGTTCTCCTTTTACGGGCTAAAGTTAAAAAAATACCAATTAATTTTAAAGTTTTATTTCTGTGCTTAATCTTTAAAATAGCAGCTATTTCCATACAGCAAGAAACGTAATCGTACATTATGCAAATCCAGTAATAATGGCTAATATTTTAAATAATTTGAGAAATGTGAATACTTAATAATCGCGTTGGCTCTGTTGCCAGTTAATAAACAAAATGTACCACTACTCACAATTCCACTACTTCCACCGCCAGATCCGGGAAGTCCCGGGGGTCCCGGGGGTCCCCGTGGTCCTTGTACTCCGGGGAGTCCCGTTTCTCCAGTAGGACCGGGCTCCCCGTCTTGGCCGTCCCGTCCTCTTGGACCGACCTCGCCTCTCCGTCCTATTAAACCATTGGCCCCAGGGAGACCGTCAGCTCCACTTAAACCTGGAACGCCTAACAACCAGAACAGAACGAGTTATATTAGACAACCATCATAAAAATGATGCATTCTGCTTGGGCCTTGGGTTCGAACAAAATTCTAATCGAAACTGTAATTAAATCTTATGGTATGGAAGAACTTCATTCATTTTTAAAATCACAAAACGCTTTCTTGAGTTTTATGTTGATAAAGTCTGAAAAGATGGAGGCTTAGGTAAAAATTAATATTAAGAAGAGCTATTTGGACTGATTATCTCACCTGGGTCACCTTTCCTTCCTGAACGTCCAGCAGGTCCTGGTGGTCCCTGTATCCCGTCGGCCCCTTTTGGTCCACGTTGCCCGGCACGACCATCTCGCCCCTGAGGTCCGGTTCTGCCTGGTAATCCCGGCTCTCCGCGCTCTCCCTTAGTACCATTTCCTGTTATAACTGTCGTCTGTATGTGTCGAAAGAAATTACAAAACTCATGTAGTAGATTTGAAATTGAATTCAAAATTGCACACGAACGATGAGTTATCAGTATCTTTTCTTTTAAGTTTAAGTGTATTTGTCAATTTGGTCTTAAATACAGGTCTACAAAAGCCAGTCATGCTGGCCAACTTCAAAGGTTGGTAATTATTTGTGCATGGTGAATCATAGAAAACCAACGTAGGCATGGACAGTTTTAATATAATGTGTTGGAACGCGGGACGTATCATGTCTGGTGCCCCGTATCTAATCGAGTGTCTACAAAGGCGTGATATCTACTTGTGTGGAATATCGGAACACTGGTTCAGAGAGCACAATACATGTACTTCATTCTTTGACTATTTTGTCAAAGTTGATTACAGTGTTATAGCTAAGCCGGATTTTGAAGCTGATCAATTCAGATAAAGATGTAATATTAGAGGTAGTGTAGCACTCCCTTTTAAAAATACTCTACATGAGATTGAAGCAATAGATATAGATAACCCTAGAATTGTGGCTGCGGAAATCACTCTCTCCAATGATGATACGTTTTTTGTTTCTCTGTTTACATGCCAGCGTCGTCCAGATCCTTAGAAATCTTAGTAGATTGTTTGGACTGTCTGTATGACATTTTTCAGAAATATTTGCAATTGCATGGCATTGTCACCAGATAACCTATACTTAAAGCTGTGTCGTTGATTAGACTTTAAATGACATCCACCACGAGACACAATTCTCAGCCAATCATCACTCGACAATACGCTGTTCCAGTTATTAAACAAATTTGTGCAGACTGTCGATAACGCGGAAATTTTAAATTTTAAATATAATTTGTAAGTTAAAAAAAGTGAAAGGCGGAGAAAACGTAAGTATAAGCATTAAACTGTTTTTGTATGGCATTCATGGCCTATTTGAATGACACATCTTTGCCATCAAACAAATCATAAGGCCCTGGCGCATTCAAATAGATCATAAATGCCATACAAAAACAGTCCAATGCTCAAATATATACAGAATCCGGATTAGAAAGGGTTAAGTAATGGCAGGGTGTTATATTACACTGTTAAACTGACCGTACTTGTTGATCGCCGTTCTAAGGTTGTTATATGACACTGTTAAACTTACCGTACTTGTTGATCGCCGTTCTAAGGTTGTTATATGACACTGTTAAACTTACCGTACTTGTTGATCGCCGTTCTAAGGTAGTTATATGACACTGTTAAACTTACCGTACTTGTTGATCGCCGTTCTAAGGTAGTTAAATGACACTGTTAAACTTACCGTACTTGTTGATCGCCGTTCTAAGGTAGTTAAATGACACTGTTAAACTTACCGTACTTGTTGATCGCCGTTCTAAGGTAGTTAAACTTACCGTACTTGTTGATCGCCGTTCTAAGGTAGTTAAACTTACCGTACTTGTTGATCGCCGTTCTAAGGTTGTTACTCTCTCAGTTAAATTGTGAAATTGTTGACAGTCAAAACATTCTGAAAATAGTGAGACAAACATTATATAGATACATAAATGTATATGTACCTTCACTGTTAGGTTCCAGAGCCGGAGGAATTTGAGATGGAATCAACAACACATAAACAGTAGGACTACTTACATGTAAGACAAGTTAACAATCTTATTTGTTACACCTCAAGTGAATTTCTAGCTATTTGATTGGTCGGGAGCAAATTAAACAAAAATCTCTGTCACCCTTCGAAAATACATTGGTTTTAAGGGGCGCGGGTGATATTGCCATGAGACAGTAAAAAATATCACATGCGCGAAAAATGTGCGTTCACCGCTTTGTTTCCCCACCGTGATGGTCACAAGAACGTTTGACGGCAACTGCCAATTTTATCAAGCGCCGGTGCGATAGCGATTGTAAACAGCAGACTATAAACAAACAAGATGTCATTATCGAGGTTTGCTGCCGTTTCTGAGTTACAAAGACTCGCCGAGGGTGACAATGGGTTTTCTCGGGTTGATAATATTCACTGTCACCTGCTAATGAATGTCATATTTATATAGTAAATAGGTAGTTTGTAATAGATTCAGAACAGTTGCTGTAAAGAGTTAACATTATATACGTATTTATTTATTTATTTTGTTGAGTTTGTGAAGCCAGCAGCATTGAAGGATAAGACGTATTATTGATCAACTATGTACTTTTGTTGAGATGAATATGTGATTATATAGACCCAAGAAAGTGAGAATAACCGAGAAAACGTCGAGGTCAATATCAGTTCGTCTCTATCAATATCATTCTCTTAGGTCCATGTAACCATATATATACCGAAGTAAAAGTGGTTTTTTTATATATATATGTTATTAAGTAATGTTTTAATTGTAAAAAAATGGAATGTATGAAAATTTTCAGGAGAAAATTAAATTTGAAATGACGTCAAAAAGTGAATTCACCTGTTGTTTCTAAAAAAGGTAACGCCAAGTCAATATTCACAAATCACCGAAGATGACCTCCACATGATTATGATCTAACCAATGAGGCTTTAGAGGGAAGGTGTGTCGTGTTATACAGTATAGCGTTGATGCATTGTGTATTGATATGTGTATCTTATACATATACTTACTGCTATCACATTTAGGGCCCTCCCATCCTGGACAACATACTTTTTTGGTGAAAGGTTGAAGTTTGGTAAACCATCTATGATTCTGTCTGAAAACGTGAGTAAATTTGGGGTTTATTACGGTAAAGACGGCAAAATCACGAACTAAAATCATCAACTAAAATAAAACGTTAAACACAGCGCTAATGACGCATTCACATATTTGGAACAAATTGAACCAAGCATTAATCATTTAGATATTGGAGCATGGCTATATCATAGATATATCATAAAACAAAGTGCCAATAATTTAGACAACGATGCAGTCATATTTAAGATATCGTTAATCACTGGTGCATGTCAAATCATAATGGGTGAATTTCAATTTTCATATAAATACATGTATATATATTGCTTGTTATTTGGTTAAAGTATTATTTGTTTTTATACATTTATTTCATGTAAATTAAAGGTCATACTAAGAAGATAAATTGTTAGTATATTTTATTTCAGAGTTATTCCCCTTCCTACACTGTTCTGGTGAGAGTTTTAACATTAGATTGCAGTTTTGTTCCAGCGAAAAATGATGTGAATGCCTATTAATACAAAAGTAGAGGTTAATAAAAGTAAAAAGGTCTATTCTAGCGAGAGTGAAAGTGGATAATGGCGAGAAGGGCTATTCCAGCGCGAGTGGAATTGGATTATGGTGAGAAGGTCGATCTATTCTAGCAAGAGTGAAAAGTGATTATGGCAAGGATGGATGGTTAGAAGGTCTAATCTGGCAAGAGTGGAAGTGGATGAAGGCGTGAAAGTCAATTCTAGCAAAAGTTGATGTGGATAATGGCGTGAAAGTCTATTCTAGCGAGGGCGGAAGTGAATAATGACTAGATGGTCTAGCAAGACTGGAAGTGGATAATGGCGGGAAAGTCTATTCTAGCGAGAGTGGAAATGGATTTTGGCGAGAAAGTCTTTTCAAGCGAGAGTGGAAATAAATTTTGGCGAAAAAGTCTATTCTAGCGGGGGCGGAAGTGGATAATGGAAAGAAAGTCTATTTTAGCGAGAGTGGAAGTGGATTATGGCGGAAAAGAATATTCTAGCATGAGCGGAAATGGATAATGGCGAGAAGGTTGATTCTGGCGAAAGCGGAATGGATTACGATAAGAGAGTATGTTTTGTGAGAAAAACTGTCTTCGCGAGAGTGGAACTGGTGATAGCGAGCATTTATAAATACAGACAGCCATGTAAGAGAGACTACGTAATTATCTTAAGCTGACGACTTTAATACTTCATTGTCAGTGAAGTCCCTCCTTTTATAAGCATTTATAAGCCTTAAAGATGTTTTACAATTATTTTCAATAAGCTGTTTTAACAGAAGAGAACAAACGAATTTGTGTTAGTAAATTAATTAATTAAAAATCTATGAAAGCATGCTAAGAAAACATTTTCATTCATACTGGTGTTCATATTAGGAAAGAAACATGCAAAAATGAAAATAGTGAATAAAGAATCATATTGACCAATGCATTTGCCTAATTATGACGTGAAAAAAATAATACACTATCAATAATAAAAAAATATACTCAGCAGATTGTGTTATATCAAAATAAATGTTTGGTCAATAGGATCACATCTTAACAAATGAAAATCAAAATGAGAGAAAAAATGGAAGACTTCTAAATAATGTAATTCTAAATAAGGAAAAAAGAACCATTATGAAAGACTTTCAAAAACAAAAAGTGAACTAAGGCAGAACTATTTCTATACATCCTGCTAACGAGCTAAGGCTGAACTATTTCTATACATCCTGCTAACGAGCTAAGGCTGATCTTAGGAGTAACGTCATACTTACGGGTCCCAGCACCACTTGCTTTTATATTCTGTGAAAGTATTAGTACACTCCCTGAAATAAAGCATGCCATATCTTAGGTATACGTCATCATCTTCATCGTCAGCAGTTGAAACAGACACCTGTTGTTTGTAACATTGTTCGTGAAAAAGACCGTACCCAAAGTATTTTAGTTAAATATCTGTTTAAATACACAGAATCGGGAGTGTATGACCATCCAGTGGTCAAATCGTAAGATTAAGAAATCAAAACTTCCTCTTGATCATTAGCTAACGACCTTTACTCTTATTTAAGTAGTTTTTAATGACAAATCTTGGATAAAGCTAAAAATGCAACAACTAGGTGTCTGTTATGTAAATCATCCAGTTATATAAATTCATTATTGGTGCTCAGCAAACAGCAATACATAATGTAGACAGGTGCCTGTGAGTGAACGGTAATACATAATGTAGACAGGTGCCTGTGAGTGAACGGTAATACATAATATAGACAGGTGCCTGTGGTGATACAAAACAGTGTTACATCTTCATTCCAAAGCGCACTACATTCCTCCATTTCACGTCGTTCTTTCAATAAATCTGACACATTGCATACTGTTTTCTTCAAGACGTGCTTAAAATTAAATATTAGTAAGTCTAAATTCTTCTTTCAATTTGTCATTTTCTCTTCAACATAAAAACCATGTATGAAAAGAGACGTCGAGTACATGGAATTAAGTGAACTTATAAACTTACAACCCGGCAAAGATCTGTAGTACATCATACAATATATATTGTGGACCAGAATGGGTTATGATACTTTATTACATGTATACATTTATATTTCATAACAAAGGGAACGGGGCTCTAGTTTCACAATCGTTCCTATAAGATTTCTTTTTATCATTGGAAACCATTGATGAAATCAGGGAATTAGATAAACTATCTAAGTTCGTGATAAGATTAAGGATTTGTTTCTTCTTAACCCAACAATGGTCTCCATTGGTTGTTGGGGTGGGGGTGAGGGATAGTGAGTAGACGTTTGCGTAACTTGGGTCTGTTATGTTACAAACGGGCGATAACAGATACCAGTGAGGCCTTCCAACACGATTCCTTTCCGGATCAGAGCAATCGGTCTGACCATCAGTGCGCTATACCGACACGTTGGCCTCTGTGACGTCTAGCGAGTCAGTGCTTTGGCCTTTGTTACGTCTGGCAAGTCAGGGCTCCGTCCTATGTTTACGCGTTACACGAGCTTACACTATCAATGCAAACAATGCTGTATTTCTCGTTCTACCGTAATCGTGTTGGTTGATAGTATGGCGTAGCCAAGCGATTTCATAGTGATCAAGATGGGTTCGTGTTAGTCTGAAGTTCAAACAAGGAAGCTTACCTGATAGGTGAAGGTGTACTGTATAATGTTGAGAATGTGCCAGTCCATCGGAGTCCGTAATGATAACATAAATAAACCGGGTTACGTTGTAAGTAATAAAGTGACCCAAAGGTTATATCAACTCTTCTTAATTAAAATATACGAAACATTTTTATAACAATTTATAGAGGCAGATCGTGTGGCGTTGATGGTGATTGAGAGTAAATTGAGTAGACCCAATACTCAATTCCGTCAAATAATAGACTTTTCAGAAATAAACAGCCAATAAGCCAACATTTTAAGACAACAACAAAAAGTGAAAATTTGATACCCATCGTCAAAACTGGCATTTTCCGACAATTATGGTGTAAGAAAGCATGGGGTTAGTCAAGAGGAACTATCGACCTTCAGCGATTCTTCAACTGCATATTATTCTCTTGACAAATTTACAGATATACAGAGAAAACAAGTTCACAACAGTCTGCGAGTTCCAATATCCTGTTTACATGTACATGCAATATTCTAGTGATAAACCCCCCAATGAAAGTTTAAGAAGAGCACAATACTAAAGGGGATCATCAGCACAATAAGAAACAAACAGAGTAAGTTTACAGAAGGATGAAGTAAAGGTTTGGCTTGGTTTGGTTGTTTTTTTTTGCCGTCCTTGCAACAGGTCATTTAAGGACGTGCCTCCACGTGTGTTGTGTATGTGTGTATGTGTGTATGTATGCTGGAGGCAAGGTATGTTGGTGTTATTGCCTCCTTGTGATAGCGCGGATCTGATGCCGACTTTAAAGTGCTATCTAACTGAAATACCATGCCGAAGGCACCCAGCACAGCATTCCGCTCGGTTACATTATACTGACAATGGGTGAACCAAATGTTGCCATAACCCTAAATGCTGAACGTTAAGGAGAGAATAACAACTTCAATTTTTAAGGACTTTGGTATGTCCCGGCCTGAGAACAGAACCCATTGCCTTCCTCACCTGGGCGAACACTAAACATTAAAGCCCAAAGTGAGATGTTGCCAAACAAGGCTTTAGGAAATGAAAGATTGTTAGAATTAGAAAGAAATATAAAGATCCCAAATGTTGGAATGGGTACAGGAGAATTATTTTGGTCGCTTTTTTGTCCCAAAGTAAAGGTCACAAAACAAATCCTCAATTCTGCAGGGTGTTCCCGCATTAGCTGCATCTTACGATACATGCAGTTGGTATCAGCAAGTGTATTCTTTTCTCATTCCCCGAACTGCAGGGGTGCTTCCACTGTGTAAAAGGTTCAGCAAGCCTATCATCCAGCCCGTAGACACGTTACAGAGACGGACAGTTCAGCCTATCATCCAACCCGTAGACACGTTGCAGAGACGGACAGTTCAGCCTATCATCCAATACGTAGACACGTTACAGAGACGGACAGTTCAGCCTATCATCCAACCCGTAGACACGTTACAGAGACGGACAGTTCAGCCTATCATCCAATACGTAGACACGTTACAGAGACGGACAGTTCAGCCTATCATTGAAACTTCACTACGAATTGTACGTTGGCTTCATTTCATAGATGTTTCGGTCAAAAAAATATATTTTTTAAATACCCTCGATGGAGTCGACAACATCATCAATTATATGTTAAGGGCATCTTAAAATAGTCCAGGAAACAAAACGCCGGTGGAGCATCCGAGTGGAGGAATTTTCATTATTTTAAAGAATTTCCATAAAACCGACATCTGTCAAGATATTGACAGAAAAACACTACAGGAATCCTTGCCTTATCACACGAATAATTATATAAGTGCTCAAGACTGATGAGGCTGTGGTTTTTGTCGATATAATTCACAGGAACATCGTCTGTTGTCGGAACTCTTCACCAGGAGGAGGAATAGAGCAACGGCTATTGATAGAAGTGACCCGGATGACTCAACATTTCCATGTGTACAGTTTAAGTATTTTAACTGTATAACAAATAATTGAAAATGTCCAGTTTGTCCTGATAAATCTCGTTTTTTACGTACACTATATTGATAAACATATTAGCAAACGTTTCTTGTGTCTTTGCCTGTTCTTAAAATAGAAAAACCATCATGACTACGTACTGAAATAACAAAGTACAGATTTGCCACGTCGTAAATGGTATAAAAACGCAAAGATATTCACACAAAAAACAAAACGCTACCCGAGTGACATCTTTACCCGACGTCAGTACAATGTGTTCTGGTGGAAAACTGTGCTGGGTACGTTATCCATGGTATTTCAATGAGGTAGCTTATGACCTTAGTTGTAAATAGGCCGCTAACCCAAATAAACAAAACAAACAAAAAACTCACGAAACAACTATTTTCGTTTCTCTTTTATAACTATTGCACAACACATATTTTACCCGTTTCGAAATCTGCATGCTTTTGATCTCTGAAGACAATCCACGGTTCTGTCCACAGCCTATTGTGTGGCCGAGCTGACGGTTCTGTCCACAGCCTTTTGTGTGGCCGAGCTGACAGTTTTGTCCACAAACTATTGTGTGGCCGAGCTGACGGTTCTGTCCACAGCCTTAAGTGGAGCCTAGCTTATTGATTTGAAATTCATCCATTCTGCTTACTTTTGATAATCAGATTTCGAAGTTATTAGGTAAAAAAAACACCATAATTATAATTTAGTTCGGTATTTAAGAAAGTGGGGAAAATATCAGTTCCTACACACTCCGTTTTAATGAACTTTTACCAAAAAATATCAGGTTTAGGTAAAATTGTGAAGTTGCAGTCGACGAGTGTTCAACAACCCAATCTAATCTAATTATATAATAAAAATTATTTGCTGACAGAGTAGCTCTAACGGTGAGGAAGCTATATCGGTGTCTCATGAGACTAGATAGCGGCTGTCTCTGGCCCATTTGTCAGGGGGCGTAACATTGGGGATGAACCGGGCCCCCCGATAACGATCTAACACGTCCCGTCTCGTGATCGACACAAATATTAAACTATGGAATCACGCAAGGATACGCTTTCTACACATACAACCATTGTAATTATTCGTACACGACAAAGACTTGTTCTGGACGGTCATCAGGCAACTTGCAACGTTTGTCATTAAAAATAAGGCATGTCAACTTAACCGCATTCAGAATAACAAAATGTCAAAGTTCCCATTGGGATGTTTTTGAAACTTTTTATCATGAAGCTATTTCATAAATTCCTTAGAAATGCCAATACTTTTTGTGCTAACTGCATATTTGTGTATAGAAACAATAAGATATAACGACCGACTTTAAAGCTAGTTTGATAACTCTGAAGAGTCATGTGAGGGGTCCATATAACCACATATTCACCAAAATAAAAGTCCTTAATTGTTATTTTAGAATATAAAAATGTTTTAATTATCAAACAAGATATGGCTAATTAATATTGTTCGGAGAAAAGAACTGAAATGACGTCATAAAGAGATTATTAACCTGATGTCTCTAAAAATAGAACACCGATTCAATATTATACAATTATGGAGTTCAGGTGAGGTCTATCCCTGATTTACGGACCTGGTCTTAACAATATTCACAAAATAGCATACACACAAATTTAATTTCAGATTCAATTCATGTGATATTTGATTTCAAGTAAACATATACATTATGATGTAGTTTAAAAATGAAACATTAGAAAGCGTATTCCTGGAATGACTGTAGCCAATATCAAACAATTTATGAGAAAATTTGTAG